GATTTACTGGTAAATCACGTATAGTTAAAGGTATACATTGTGTATATTACTCGGTGGTTAAATAAGTAGAAAAAATGAAGTTTAACAATATAATACTCGAATTCAGTATTTACTAAAAATATACTTATTCTGTATTCATGATAATATAATATTAATATTTTATAAAAATGTTCACTGGAACATCTCAAAAAATGATAATTTGATTATGGTTTATGATTCGTAAAATGTACAAACGCTTTTTATACGTTTATGACCGTTGACGTACAGCGTATGTGTCATTTGTGAATATTGAGAGGTTATAAAGAACTGAAGAAACTGTCCAATAGGCAATAAGTAATAACAGGGAAAAGTGAGGAGAGTTTGGAAGAATGCTGTAAAATCCACCTTAGGGTTGATTACTAAAGAAGAAGAAATGTATAATATTATATGGATCTGTAGTTTCGAAAAACCTCACTTCTTGAAAACGACATAGCACTCACATTCACAATGCTATACGATCTCGTTTGACTGTGTGATGTAAAGTAAAACTGACCAATTATTTTCGAAATGTAAGCGTTTTCTCAACTATCCACACAGTTAGCATTTTGCTCTTTTAATTTTTTTTAAATTTACGTATGAGAAAAAAATGTATGCTATCAGTCAGTTATGCCGGAGGTTGTCTTTCCTTCTCTTGCAGTCTGCAGAGTATAATATTAATTGTTTTCAAATCTTCGATCCGTCGCCAGTATATAGAGGTGCTGTGTTAAAACACGCCCCCAAAAATAAACCAAAATAAACCAAAATATGCAAGTGCATATTTAAATAAACAAACGTATAAAATGTGGGCAAGTGGGTGTCGCTCTGCTGTACAGTAGGTTACAAGTGGGTCACAGTATAATGGATGATATTAAATTTGAATTCAACGATATAATATCATTGTATAAGAAAAACGATTCTGAGGGGAGACGGTATGTCAGTCTAGGTATAAGACATATTATATACATATCTATGGTATTAAACAAAAAATTGAAATATAATAGGTACCTATAATAAATTCCAAATTAATCATATCACAATATCCATTAGGTACTTATAAGTTATAACATCAACAAAAACCGTGATACTATCATAGATATATAATATTACACTTTAGAAGTTTTAAGTACCCACAAATAATATTATTCAATCACAACAAAATAACTAAAATAGTTATTCTAGGTTTTTTAATATGTAATTTTGTTCAAATTTGAATTTAAAATGTCTGTAAAAAATTACTGTGTTCATAATATATTATTAGATTTTTTGGTTACGGTATGAACTATTTATGAGAACCTTTGTTTTAAATTTGCAATCCTTAGCTATAAAAACTGAACATTTTATAATTTATTAATTACAATGATTGATAATTTTCGAGATTTTGATAAATTTTGTCAAAATTCGATCTTTAAATGCTTATAAAAAAAAATTGTGCCTATGTATTTTTAATATTTTTCAATTGCTATTGTAACAATATATCAGGAGCCTTGTATTAAATTTTTACACTTTTTGGCCCAACAGATAAAACTTTATTGATATTTATAGAAAAAAAAACTAAAAAAAATGAAAACTGAAAATGTCCGTAAACAGCTCAAAAAGAGTCAAAATATTTTCAAAATTTTACAGTGTATAGGAAATGCTAATATGAACATTTAGTGAATATTTCATGTATCTACAGTTATTCGTTTTTGAATTACAACAAAATAAGGAAATCGCTACATGAGATATCGAGTGAATATCTAATGTTGTAAAAATTTGAGTTTCAAACGCTCATAAAAATTTAATTTGACTTTCATATAGACATTTTTTTTTTTGATAAATGTATAAAATCTTATAAGGAATCTTGTATTACATTTTAAAATCTTATATTTAAAAAGAAAAATTCTTACGAATTCTTAACTCAAAATAATTTGCTAATTTTCGTGATTTTTCCATATTTTGTCAATTTTTGAACTTTAAATGCTTGTAAAAAAAAACTGTGACTAAGGATTTTTAATATTTTTCATCTGCCTTTAAAACAATATAATATAAGCCTTGTATAAATTTTCAAGTATTTTTACTCAACAAATACATTTTTATTGATATTCTTAAAAAAAAAAACTAATAAAAGTGGAAACTGAAAATGTCCCTAAACAGTTCAAAATAAATCAAAATATTTTGAAAATGTTATCGTGTACAGAATATGCAAATATAAACAACCAGTGAAAATTTCATGTATCTACGGTCATTTGTTTTAAAGTTACACCAAAAACCAAAAGCGATTTTCTCGAAAAACAGATTTTGCGTAAAAATTCCCGTTTTTCATTAATTTTTCTTTTGTTTTTCACGGCGCTTTTGAAAACTAATGGGACATTTTTATTTTTGACCCCCCAAAGTAGGTACCAACTAGATTCACTTTCCTATCAGAAAAGATACTGTTGAAGAAAATCCAAGCACTTTTACTGTCCTAAAACGTGATGACAGACACAAAAAGAAAAAAAAACACACATCATTGTGAAGTCAATACATTCATCGTTCCACTCAGAATCTAAAATAATTATAAATTGTTACTATGACGTATCCATTTGTATAATAAGACCTGCAAACTAGTCTGAGACCAGACATCTGCAGCTCACTGCATAATCTAAAATCGTATTTTATATTATAATTTATAATCACTTAAAAAGACGATTTTATTGTTTGTTAAAATTGTTATAATAGAAACTAGAATAAAAAGTAAAAACGTCTCTGTATCAAATCATATCATTATGAAACGCGAGGTATGACGCGAAGTGCGAGGTGCTCGATCGCTATTCGCTATATTGTGCACAAAACACACACACACACACACACACACACACACACACGTCACACACACATACTTTCTCTCGTTTTCTTCGCAATTTCATATTTCCCGGGTGTCAAACTCGATTACTATTGTAATGTGTTACCAAAATCAAATTAGGTTTTCGAGTGTTCAATGGGCCCATTCCTACCAAATAACGTTGTGATAAATTACACGCTGTAAGTATAATAATATGTATAATAATAATAATAATAATAATAATATATATGCGCACCACCGAGACCGTACCGTTTACAGTATACAAGTATGCTATATTATTATACACACGCAACGAAGTACGCGATATTATAATAACACGAGCAATAATAATAGTGTGTCTATATAGTATGGATTAATAACTTTCAATTACATTATATTATACTGGAGTACGGTGTTTTGCGTCGTTGTACTGCCACAAATCGTCATGTTATTTTCTCTGCCTACGCAATCCGTTTTTCCGGCGAATTCATTAATCAACGACGAATATTGGCCGCGCGCTCTTGCACTTCACACTCATCCATATTATACATCTAAACCCACACACACACACACACACACACACACACACACACACACACGTCTATAATACTATAATATAAACTATATTAATAATACTATATCGCGGGCCACAGGGGCGGTCGAGCGCTTTCGCTCCTGCGGATCCCTCGGGACACTCGCAACATCGTCTTACATCATCTAATACACACATATAATACGTGTTACATTATATTATTATATACGGGAGCTCGCGAACGTCGGTTGTTGTGGTGTAGGTACCCATACTCATGTGTGTGTGTGTGTGTGTGTGTGTGTGTGTGTGTGTGTGTATGTTGTTTCTCGATGTTTTGCAGTTTTCATCGTAAAACCGCGTTTTACCGATTGCCATGCCTCGCCGCCGGCTGTATACGCGTAGTATTATTTATATTGATGATCTCCGACGAGTTGCGTTGTTCGAATAAATTACTATAATATACGTAGGTAAGACGTAGTATATACCTAACCTATATATGTACACTTTTTACAAGCACGCGCAGAACTGTTTTCGTTGCTTTAGATTTTCGTTCTCAATATTTATGGAGTGTGCATCCAATCACTCCGCCATATAGAATACAGTGCATGTGTATACATAGGTACAACGTATATAGATACGCTGTTTGCCGGCTGGCGGTTTCTGACGTGGAAACTATGGCGGGCGGTGGTGGCGGGGAGGTTTTCCATTTTTCCCTCTTTCGTTGTAAATATTTGAATCGCATAAAACCGAACGTCTTACATTGTTGGTACCTGCAGAAAACGTTCTATATTAATTGTAGTATCGATCTATAATTACTATTATATACCTACGTAGAAAACATACAATCTGTTTATGAGCGGTTGTCTCAGAGCTATGTCAAGCTATTCAGCGCCCTGGGGCAAAATTTTTTCAAGCCCCTTCCCTACAATTTAACTATTAATTGTTTTCGTATTATATTAATCTCCATATTACACACACCACGAAAACTAACTAAAATATAATATACAATACTTAACATCTATTATATAAAAATAAGTCCGGTTTTCCTCCCTGACGCTATAACTCGAGAACGCACGAACCGATTTCCACGGTTTTGCATTCGTTGGAAAGGTCTTGGGCTCCGTGAGGTTTATAGCAAAGAAAATTCTGGAAAATTCAGGAAAAATTCAACAGAAAAGTGGGGAAATCGTTTTTCACATACAGCGCCATCTATTATACATAGCATGTACTTCAAACCAATAGCAACGGTGCGTGATAAAGTGTTTGACGGATAGTCCTGATCCAGTCACTGATCCCCGTCTACACGACATTGTGACGACACAGATGGTGCATGGACCGTGCGGTGCATTAAATCCATTATCGCCTTGCATGGCTGATGGAAAGTGCACAAAACGATATCCGCGACCGTTAGTTGCTGAAACAGTCACAGGGAACGATGGATATCCAGTTTATCGTCGGCGTTCAAAAGAAGATAACGGTCGAACTATCAAAGTTAAAGTTCAAAATCAAGAGATTGAGATCGGAAATGAATTCATTGTACCATATTGCCCGCTGCTATCACGAATTTTCGAAACACATGCAAACGTTGAGAGTTGTCATTCGGCCAAATCAATCAAATATTTGTGCAAGTACGTCACAAAAGGCAGCGACATGGCTGTGTTTGGTATTGCGTCGGAAAATGTGAATGACGAAATCAGCAACTTCCAAATGGGCAGATACGTCAGTACTAATGAAGCACTGTGGCGATTATTGTCATTTCAAATTCATGAAAGATATCCCACAGTTGTACATTTAGCAGTGCATTTGGAAAATGGCCAAAGAGTTTACTTCACTGAGGCTAATGCGGCACAACGAGCTGAGAGACCACCATCGACAACATTGACTAGCTTCTTTGCAATGTGTGAATCAGATCCATTCGCAGCGACGCTGATGTACGTTGAAATGCCCAAGTATTACACTTGGAATCAATCAACAAAGAAATTCCAACGTCGCAAACAAGGAACCCCAGTTCCAGACTGGCCACAGGTGTTTTCAACTGATGCACTAGGTCGTATGTACACTGTTCATCCTAGAAACGATGAATGTTTTTATTTGCGACTGCTGTTAGTAAATGTACGTGGACCGAAATCATTTGCGCATTTGAAAACTGTGAATGGCCACCAATGCCAAACATATCGAGAAGCATGTCAACTATTGGGTTTGCTGGAGAACGATTCTCATTGGGATTTAACACTTGCAGATTCAGTTGTTTCATCAAATGCGTACCAAATACGAACGCTGTTCGCAATTATCATCACCACATGTTTTCCTTCACAACCAATTCAGTTATGGAACAAATACAAAGACGCCATATGTGAAGATATCTTGCATCGCTTGCGTATTCAAACGAATAATCCTGACATCCAAATAACCGATGAAATCTACAATGAAGGATTGATTCTGATTGAGGATCAATGCTTGACTATTGCAAACAAGCTACTGATTGAAGTAGGAATGATTGCGCCAAATCGATCGATGCACGATGCATTCAACCAAGAATTAAATCGAGAGCTGCAATACAATGTTGATACATTGCAGGAATTCGTTAGAAATAATGTTCCGTTGCTGAATGAACAGCAAAAACAAGTATACAAAACATTAATGCAAGCGGTGGACAATAATACCGGTGGTCTATTCTTCCTGGATGCACCTGGAGGAACAGGGAAAACATTTGTCATTTCATTGATTTTGGCCACTATTCGATCAAGATGTGACATAGCTTTGGCGTTAGCATCATCTGGAATTGCGGCGACTCTTCTAGATTGTAAGAATTATGCTTGGTTAAGTCAACGAGCAATTCTTGCAGCAAAGAATAATGATGTCCACGCACTGAATTTCACCATTCAATCAAAAATTGCTGGCGATTTGGTGACATACAAATCCGTTGATTCAATAACAAATCCCGATGATGTAGTAAATTATCCAACGGAGTTTTTGAACTCTCTGGAGATACCAGGATTTCCACCACATAACTTGCAACTGAAAGTTGGTACAGTTATTTTGATACTGCGTAATTTGAATCCACCGCGACTTTGCAACGGTACTCGACTTTCGGTAAAGAGACTTATGCCGAATTTAATTGAGGCAACCATTATTAACGGAAAGTACGCAGGTGAAAATGTATGTATTCCTCGAATACCAATGATTCCGACTGATCTTCCGTTTGACTTCAAACGATTGCAATTCCCAGTTCGCCTTGCGTTCGCAATGACAATTAATAAGTCGCAAGGCCAATCGCTTAGTGTTTGCGGGATAAATTTGGAAAATCATTGTTTTTCACATGGACAGTTATACGTTGCGTGTTCACGAGTTGGGAAACCATCCGCTTTGTTTGTGTTAACGTCAAACAAAAAAACAAAAAATGTGGTTTACCAAAGAGCACTACAATGAAACAATTAAATAACACTTCATTTTAGTAGGTAATTGAAATGAATTTATTACTGTTGTGAAATGAAATAAATATTTTCCTTTTCAAATATATAACAAAAAAAATTTTTTTTCTTTATATTTTAATCACCAAACGACAAAAAACATAAAACGAATCTGGTGGCGAAACGGAGTTCGCCGGGTCTGCTAGTAATATATATAATTATTTATTTATTTTAATTAAAATATTGATAACAAATTAATCATTAATAATTAATATATAAAAATACCAAACAATATTTTATAATTTTTTTCTTGCTTTATCTTTGGCAAATCTCTGGACTATAGTACTCCAATCAATACTCTTTACATGCACAATAGTGATAAAGATAATGTTTTTTCCTTTGCTAATGATGAACGGAGATATGTTTTTACTCTTTTCATGACAGAAAATGAGCGTTCACCACTAGGATTTGAACAAGGCATGCATGTAAATATTTTAAGGGCAATTTCTATCGATGGAAATGTAGAACTTATATTATATTTTATTAATGCTTTCTATAAAGCGTGAAAAGAATTTGTTGACTTTCTGGCATACATGAAACCGTTTGTTTAAACTGTATTAAAATAAATTCAATAAATTAAATTTCTAAGTCATCTTCATATATATTTACTTACTTTTCAGCTCTTAATTTAAGCTCAGATTGGTCTATGTCCTCTAAATGTAAAAAAAATCCAAATTTTTCATTTAATTCATTGTACTCTGCTTTTCACTTATTTAAATTACTGATTAAAGCATCAATGATTGGAAAAAATGTTTTCTTTTTCTGAAAACACAATATCTTCCGAATCTCCTTCATTAAAAAAAAAGTTCTTTTTTTGTCATCTCAAATCATTGGGAAACAAATCTATTTCACAAATACTTATAGCTTCATTTAATATAGTTTCAAAACTATTTCTTAACTCGCAAATATATAATTCAAGTGATTTGTATAATTTTACCACAGATGATAAATCTATATTAACACATTGTAAACTTTTGCTGGTCATATTGAATCTTTCTAAAATAAGTGTCCACAAGACTTACATGAATGTAAATTCTAGGTTTTTAATTTTTTTGAATAGAGCTAATGCTTTATGTCTTACAGCAGGCCTCTGACTTACATCTTCTGATATATTTTGTAATGCAACAACAATCTTTTTATAACCATTTTTTATTGACTTGCAAACAAAATATCTTGATGACCATCTTGTAGGACATACATTTTTAAGCAATGTTGAATTAGGAATAGAATAAAGTTTATTTTCTAAGATCTTCCAACGTGATGTAGAACCAGAAAAAAAAATATAAAAACTTTGAGTGGTCATAAAAACCCGATTACTCACACTAGTCTCTTCAGCTACAAATGTACCAACTAAATTCAGTGAGTGCGCTGAACATGGCACAAATTCAGCAGTAGAAGAGCTTTTTTTGCGGGATTGTAATCCATTATAAATTCCAGACATGTTTTGAGCATTGTCATAACTCTGTCCTCTACAGTTTTTCCTGTCAATTCCAAGATCAGAAAAAAAGTGAAGTATAGCCAATTCCATATCTTTTGCTTTATGCCCAACGGAAGGTAAAAATCCCAAAAAACGTTCAACAGGTGAACCGTCTGGTAGTATATATCTTATTGCAACTGTAAGTTGATCAACTTTTGATATATCAGGTGTAGAGTCTATGATAATTGAGAAATATTTAGAAGTTATAGTTTCCTGAACAATATTTTCTAAAACAGTTTTGGTCATGGTTAAAATTAAATCGTCACAAATGGTTTCGACAAATTTGATACATTTCCTTTGCCTTTATTTGCATACTTGTCAATATGTGTAGAAAGAAATGGATCAAATTTAGAGATTAAATCAAGACAACCTAAATAATTTCCATTGTGCCAAGAACCTAGGATTTGATTATCACCTCTAAATGCAAGTCCTCTAGATGATATAAATAATAGTTTCAATTAAACGATGAATTACTTGTTGCCAATATGATTCATCTTTCTGAATTTCAATTTTAAGCTGCTTGTCTATAGTTTCTAGATTTTCAGATTGTTTGGAAAACCATAATTTCACCGATGTAAGATGAATTTGATTTTTTCATTATTTTTAACATAGTCTAAACATTTTTTCCCGTTTATAAATCCTTTACCTTGATGACTAAATGCAGTTTCATTTTGTGCAAATAGAAGACAGTAAAAACAGTATAAAGAATTTTCTGAACAAGAGTATAAAACCCAGTCTCGAGATTTACGTTCACTATTATGTAATTCTCGGGAGGGCCGTGTTTGCGCCTAAATACCGTATATGCGCCTATATGCAAAAACCTCGATTGCGCTTAATAAAATTAAAATACGTTAAATACTTATTTGCTCCTAGTTAGGTCACAAATAAATAAATTTGGCAACATTGCAGTAAAACTTAAATTTCTCGTCCCACTTTTTTCAGACTTCGAACTAACAGAATAAAGAAATTGAATTATTCTGGTGTGGTTAAAAATTCGTCTTTACTGTTCTGTTGTGTAGTTATTATTTCTTATGTAGGCACCTATTATATTTTTAATAAAATAAAATTTAAATTTTTCGCGTTACTTTGACTTTGTTACTTATATTTTTTATGAAGATAATTGTTGATGTTGATGTATCTCTTAATTCATTTATAACCTGGTGTTTTATATAACTGTTTTATGTTTTATTTGTTTTATTGTTGTTTTAGCAAGATTTATTTTTAAATATGTATCTGTTTGAAATTCTATTAGAACTTCCACAAATTTTATGATTGATGGATGAGGGTTAAAAAAATATGAATTAAAATGTTTATGAATTGATTCACATGTGTTTTTTGTCTGTGTTAGATTATTACAACCTTTTGCCCATAATTCAGGGGGAAATAGACTATCTTCGCTTACGAAATTTTCAACTAAATAATCAGCAAATGATTGTATTTTTTTTTTCTGCTGGAATTTCAGACATTAGTTCCAAAAAGCAATCTGATACTTCTTATGGATGTAAAAATGGAAGACCGAAACAATACTGTAACCATTTTCCTTCTGGACTATTAGATTTATACATATTAGTTAATCCAAGACTTTGAATTTTTCCGTACCAACATTGCCCCAAGTGAAATTTGCCGGTGGAAAGTTTTATATCCGGCCAAATATTATAGATGCAGAGTTTAAAATGCTTTTTTCAAAGTCAGAATATATATCAACAGGACAAAACTCAGGACATAAACGCTTAATATTTTCGAATACATATTCATAGACGTCACAACATTTTGATGGTAACAAACAAAATACTAGAGGTATGTAATGATTATTATAAAATCCATGAATTTTGAAAAGTTGACAAAAAAATTTTGTGGAATAAGTAAATGTACCATCGACGTACATAGTATTGACCAAACTTAAAAATTGCAAATTTGTGGTAAACGTAAAAATTACAATATTTTTTTCTATGTCATTTACTGCAATCATTGATTCTCCTTTAGATGATAACATATTATTTGATACTAAAAATTCTTGAACTTCAAAAATATTTTTTGGAATATTTGTTTGTGTGTTTCTACACGGGTACATTCTGCCACGAATTAATTTAACGTCACCGTAATCTAACGTGTCAAAATTATTCTTTGTAATTTCAGAACGTATAATTTTAATTGGACGATCAGTCATGTCTTTGGCTCTTTTTTTACACGCACTTCGAATAATTTGACGATTTAATTTTTTTTCATCAGTATTATGGTTATGATTTAAATTGCTACTAACAGTTACATTTCCATTTTTAATTAGTCTTGCTAAACACGATTTCATTGTACAACGCCAAGTTACATTACCAGATTTACTTTCATAAACTTTTCTGAATTTAAAAGTGTCGATTATAAGTAAATCTTTAAAATTGTTACTGGCACCTTTTGCTAATATAATTTTATTTTCTGTCATTTTTGAAACAAGAATCAAACTGAAATGTGTAATTAAGTGAAGTTCAGCGACGACTGACTATCTGCGATCGAGATTTTAGAAATACCGCCGTAAAATGCCGTATATCGACTATGTAGGTAATACAAATTATCTATAGAAAAGATAAGAAGTTAGATATGATTAAAGATAAGTATCCTATGAAGGTATATCGAGTCACGACTGATATAGAAATTAAATTAATTCTCTAGTAAATACTTGCCTCGGAAGATACCGAGAATATTTACAAATTTTACTCAAAGTAGATTTAAATTTGATGCTCTCCAAACAAGTTGATATATTATTGTATACTAAATAGTGTATTGCATTACTATTTAAAATAGATTTGGCTGGATCAGTTTCAAGGTAAAAAATAATTTTAACACTGTGTTCTTACCTGAATATTTCTGATCTTATCTTCGCCCCCTTATTTTTACAAAACTACGGCGCACGGGGCAATTTCCCCCTTTGCACCCCCCCCCCCTCAACACGGCTCTGGGTTGTCTCGATGAGTCTCTGCGAATGAAGGACGAGCGTGAAAAACGTTCGTTGCTATATTTTATTCAAAAGTGGTAACTCGCATACATATGTAAAAAGATAATAATATACCAACTGTAAGACACACAAATTACAACCATAGAAAAGTACTCTTCGAGGGGGTAGTCTGCATTTTTGATACATCATCATTATTACATTTGACATAACTCATAAGTACATAACTACTATAAATTATACGAAACACTCATATGAATAAATGCTTAGGTATTAGTTAATTTATTCCAAAATTCTCTTTTTTACTGAGACAAAGAAAACTTATTTACCTATATTGTATAGAATATAGATAACTAAATATTTTGATCAAACATACAAATAATTAATACACTGCAACTTCAAGATGACCAAAATATTTGATTAAAAATATTTTCTATTCTTTATAAATATATAAACAGTATAACTAACTTATTTCAAAAATAGTAGAATTGTGCATATGTTCTAATAAGTAATTACGTATAGTTTATAATCATTCTTATTTACTAACGAATAATGAATTAATTTTAGAGGCTCTCCGTTTACCTAATATTCTTTGGTTGTTGTAGATTACCTATACCAAAGTTAAAAGTACCTACCAATTTGAGTACAATTATTTATTGTATTACAATAAATATGTGCCAATGGAATTTAAACATTGAAGAATGTTAGTATTGTTTACAAAACCTAAACAAATTTGTTTTAAGACTTTTGTTATTTACGATCCTAAGAAAGTTGTTTTAACAAATTTTCGAAATAGTAAAATAACTTTCGTATTCTTTTTAAAGTTTTGCATATGTACCTCCGTGATTTATAGTTTAACTTTTAGTTTACATTTTTACCCAGTTTAAGAATTTTTGTGTTCATATCAACTCATATATTTATCTTTAAAATAGAGTAGTTTTTATTATACACGAAAATTGACGTTAAATCAAGTAAATCATTCTTCAATACCGTAGTACCATAATTATATTATAATAACTTATAATAAAATAATTGTATTATTAAAACCGTTTGAAATTATCGAATAAAAAATTATAGTTATAAATTATAATATGTATGATTATTGTTTAATATATTTAATTTCAAGGATTGTATTACTCAAAGTTTACACAAATATTTAGGTCTAATTTACTACCAGAAGCACCTTCAAAGATTGAAGAATTTTTTTTTGTTTTAAAAGGAGATGAGACAAAAATAAAAATACACATAATTGTTAAACCGATAAATTTACGGCTTTAAAATTATCTACTATCGTATCTAGTGTAATATATATTTTGACTGTAAGATTTATTTGTGTTATAAAAAATTAACATCGCAATGTATTAAACTAATAAAAATAGTAATTTGTTATGGTAATGCTATTTTATGTGGCCTCATAATATATTTTGGCAACTCGGCCCACTAAAAGTATAGTTGTAGCACTGGTTACACTTTATGTTAATACTAATATTTCATGGGTTTCATATAACATAATTTTTATTCCCTTGGTTTTAATTAAGTACTATAATATAGTAACTCGTTGAATTATTACTTGATAATTTATTTAAATATTTATAGAACTCATAATCTATCTTAAATACTCAGAAAAACTTAATAACGGATATTATATTTCCTGCTGCGTTAGTTATGATCAGTGGTTTTATTAATTTTTTTATGTTATTATTTTGAATTATTTTTTGCAATATTTGGTAAATTACTTATCAGCATTACCTAATAAAGAGAACCAACCTTTTTTTTACTGTTAGGTAGTTTATAAGCAGATTACTTTTTGGATTAAGTACTAATATTGTTGCATATAAATAACAAATTACATTAGTTGTTTATGAACTATTAAACTTCATATATTATAATGATAGTTGTACCTATAGCACCGAAAACTGGTATCCAGTGAATTGTTCGAGAAATATAACATTGACCGCCGGTGAATGTATCGCTATCCAATTGATCGTGAATATAATTGGTCACCAGGATAATTGATCATGTAATGAACATTAAAAGTTTTTTAGTTATTTTATCCCTAGGTATATTTTAGAGTTCTATATTTATTATTTTAGAATATTAAAATATTCTTATTTATTTATTTTTGAATAACAGACAGTTAATATAAATTATAATATTATGATATAAACCTATAATAGTATATATTATTATATCTGTTAATCACATTGTAAATTGGATTAACTGTCCATTATTTAGAAATAAATAAAATATAAGAGTAGGTAATTGAATCTTCTAAAATAATAATTTACATAAAAATTGGAAATGT